GGAGGTGTCCATGTCGCTGAGCAATGTATGTGAAACAATAAAAAGACTTGTGCAGCCGCTTTTTCTTCTCTCCTGAACTTAATAATGTATGGTGAGGGGTTTTACAGCCTTAAAATATCTATAATTGTAAAAAAATAAAGCTGACTACTTTGCAGATTTCGTCTATTGCAGGTTATTTTTGGAACGTAACTCTTGCGAATAACGAGGGATCACTGTATATCAACTCAGTATAAACCTGTAATATCTAAATGATAAATCAAATGCTTAAACCAGCAACCCAAATGGAAACCGATTGAGAAATCAAATGCTAATAAGAAGTGTCAATCTAAATGAGGAGTGCCAGTTTATATATATAAAACATGCACAAAAGCCTTACAAATATACTTTGCTCAATACAAATAAAACAGATTTTATTATGAATTTCTGGAAATAATGCCTTTAAGAATTTCATGTTAATGTTACTTTCACTGTCTCATTAGGGAAACTCCTGAGATAATTAAGTTATATCTATGAACTTTAGTAATAAGCAAATAAAAAATGCTGTGCTAATGTGGTTGCAGTGTATGAGTGTGGGAATTGAACAAACTAATTTGGCCGTAGTGTATGAGTGTGTGTGAATAAGATAGAATGTATGGGTGTTTCCCAGTACTGAGTTGCAGCTGGAAAAACATCCACTGCTTTGTCTCTGTACACTTTGGACTTTATGTTGTATATATCTTTTTCTGCTTTTTCTGCAGGTGTGTTTGGTGCTGATGCTGATGAAGTGAAGGCAGTATCAGTGATGGAGGGAGATTCTGTCACCTTAAACCCTGATCGAGATGTACAGGGGATTATTCTGCTGCTTTGGAGGTTTGGAGACAACGGTCCCACCATTGCTCTCATCAGTGGAAATACGACCTCATATCCTACTGAGCAGACTAAGATATTTACAGACAGACTGAAGCTGAAAGAGACTGGATCTCTTACCATCAACAACATGAGACACAAACACTCTGGACGTTATGAACTAGAGGTAGACTGCAGTGGAAAGAGAATTGAAATGAGCTTCTCTGTTACTGTAGATGGTGAGGAAACATTGATTTACAAAATCAAGCCATTTTAATTATTTATTATTTAATAACTAGTTTTAGTAACGGGTTCCTCAAATTCTTCAATTTATAGGTTTACTAAATTTAATTCTCTTTAAAGTTTTATTTATTTATTAGCCACTCTAAATTTTGACTGAGTTTGAAAACGACTCTTAATTTAATTATTTAAGGATATTTGTGCAGACTTAATATAATGTGTCTCTTTAAGCTCTAGCAAGAATATTAAATCAGCCTATTTATTATTGTGTTTGCAGCAAAAATAAATATAAATAATTGGCATAGTAACCATTGGCATTTTACCAATTTTTGTAAAACTAAATATTTTGTGTAAATGTTTCTTTTGCAGAGCCTCCACTTGTTATTGAAGCTTATAAAGCTGAAAGAAAGAGCTTGATAGTGACAGAGGGAAATCCAGTCAATCTTCACACTGATATTACTAAACTACATGGAGATGAGCTGATAGTGTGGAGGTTTGGTGTTGAAGCAAAACTCCTGGCTAAAGAAGATAAAGAGACCAAGAGTTCACCATATTATGATTTTGATGAGAGATTCAAAGGCAGACTGAAGCTAAATGACCAGACTGGATCTCTGACCATCAACAACATGAAAGACACAGATGCTGGACTTTATACAGTGAAGATCAGCAACAACAAACAGATAACATACAGAGATTTCACTGTTACTGTCAGTGGTGAGTAATGTCATGGTCTGTAAATAACTCAGATGATCTGATGTAAAATTTTATCTTGAGGAATCAATTGTTTTTTTTTTATATATATAAATAAATGCAATGTTGTGGATCTGCGTGTTCATAATGTCTGTCTTTATTATTACAGGTTCAGGTCTGACTTCAGCTGCTGTAGCAGGAATTGTTATTGTTCTGCTGCTGCTGTTTGCTGTTGTAGCTGGATTGGGTTTTCTTTACCATCGCCGCCAGATTGCTGAACAAAAGAAACGCATAGGTAAGTATTATAGATGCAGCAAGAAAAAAAAAAAACGCTGGGATTTATTTTGCGACTAATTAGATTTTAAAAGTATATGATTATTTTTTTATCAGTATTTGATTGTGGCATGATTTATTGATTCAGTTTAATCCAAGTGTGCCGCAAGCCTACGTTTGAGTGAGGGTCTCGGCCGCTAGATCGCCCCCTGGGGGCTGGCTGCAGTACAAGTCATAAAGCCCGCCTCCTCCGTGTTAATGAAGGAGACTTGAGCCCAAATAAAAAAAATTATTACACTTGCAATAAAATGTCCCGAAAGATAGTTCTGGTCGATTAAGGCACTGGTTATTGTGCTGAAATAGGTGCAGATCTTCATTTTTGTAAACAGTTTGTTTTTAGCAGTAATTTAATGCTGGGCGTGTCATTGTGATTGACAGCTGTGATTGACAGTTTCTCAAAGCGCGGCGTCTGAGCTTCGGCAGGAGACTGAAGTAGACTGAAATGTTATTATTCGATTTCTGTGTTATTTTACCATGACAAAATGAGTTCAGCAGTAAACTATAGTTTCTGACATACATGATCCTGGTGGAACACTGTTTATTCGCTAAGGTCAGGGCTTTTTTCGGGCTTTATTAGTTTGCTGATACACGCCTAACCACCCAGATAGCAAAACACAGTTCCGGCTAGATTCTCGCCTGCCGGAGACTTATCTCTTAGAGCTCAGACTGACTAATGTTACCTCTGCTGGACCTACTCCGGATGCCTGGACTCACTACCCAATTCCAGCCCGAGTCAATCGAGCCAGATGCGGCGGCCGAGCGAGCAGGCGCTGCCGCATGCGAGCCGGAATCAGCCCGCGACGCCGCGAGTAAGTTATGCGCTGCGGCCTGGAGCTGGCGCGATTGAATATATAAAACCCTCATATTTGTTAACGTTATTACATCCATTTGTGTTGATATGACAGCAAACGCATGCTGAGAAGTTCGGGGGGCGTAGTTGATTTTACATAAAGCGTTTGGTTGGAAGCTCGACTCTGCTCATTTTCGCGGCTCCTCCTCTGGCTCCATCAGACAGTCCTTCTGCGCATGTCAAGGCTCCAATTTCAGCAGTCTTTTGCGACAGTTTGTGCCCTTCAAGCAGGCGTTTTGCCCTCAAGGCGTTCAATGGGAAAAAGGGCTGTCGCGTCGTCCATATTTTTTACAGTCATTGGTTTAATCATTGTATTCATATAAATATTTATTAGAGAGAGAATAGCATGACTTTTAAATAATTTACCTATTATTTCCTGTAGATAAAATACAATTAGGCTGCATTTACACTGCAGATCTTGATGGTCAATTCCGATTTTGTGACCGTATCCAATTTTTTTGATGACCTGCTTACATCATCTTTTAAAAGTGACTCGTATCCGATTGTCTGCATTTACACAGCAAACGGCAAAGGTGCAATGACCAGGAAAAAGAAGAGTAGGCGCTGAGTGACTAATTAAAGAGTGCTCTTTTCTCTATTCCTGTATGTAATCTGTTCGCAGCTTTTAATAAGCTGTTTTACTTTAGTTTATGACAGAAAGGTTCTCATTTGTTAATCTTCTTTAGATAAATAGGCTTTTTTAAACCTTTAGGCGTCTTAATGTAATGTCCATGGCATGATTTATGCACGTGATGTAGCAATGCACTAGTTTAATATTAGTTTATATTGGTTACGTGGCGGACATAGCGCTCTCTCGCTCTCGTTAACATGCTTAAATACCTGTGTTATATAACAATATAAAAGCTGTTTATGTCCTCGTGTATGAGATTTAAGGTTTGGGACTCTGGTGAGGTCTGCTTTGAAATAAAAGTGTCAGACTTGACATCATCCGCTATGGTTTTTAATGACGCGCGACTCACATTGACAGGTGAAAATCCGATCTGCTTGCTTACACTGCAGACACGAGAACACAGATCCGATTCATATCGTATAAATTTCCACATATGAACGAGGCCTGATTCTGATTTGAGTAAATCGGAATCCATGTGATTTGTTCCTGCTTACACGTACATGGGCCATATCCGATCTGTGCTACATGGAGGAAAAGAAATTGGAATTCAGGATGACTTTTGCTGATGTTATTGCATACATTATTGTAAATGGCTGCAGATGGTTTATAAAGTCATTCAAATAATGAAAAGATTATTAACATGTAACGTTGACATAAAAAGTTGCAGTTTGTTCTTGCTGACAGTTTCTGTCTCTTCATGTCCAGTGAAGCTTTACTGACTCATTACAATCTATTTTCTCTCTTTTCATGTGCTTCTGTGTCCCATGAAGAAAAAAAAATACATACAGCAGAGAGAGAAAATGTCACTTTAAAGACTGAAACTAAACTACTTGAAGGTGATGAGATCCAGTGGTGGTTTAGCAATAAAAACTTCCTAATAGCTGAAATAATTGAAGGAATTGGAGAGACATATGATGGTCTTGATGGGAGATTCAGTGACATCCTGGAGCTGGACAAGGAGACTGGGTCTCTGACCATCAAGTACATCAGACGTAAACACACTGGTGATTACAGGTTAAAGATAATCAAGCGGAGCGGAGAAACCTCAAACAGTAAATTCAGTGTTTGTTTTAATGGTGAGTATCTGCAGTCTTTCTGTGCAGTGATCATCACTGTTCTTCCACATGTATTTTTATTTTATAAAAGGTTTAATATATTTTTATTTAACTTTTTTCTGTGGTTTAATCATCTTAAACTTTTGTCACTGCAGTATTTAGTGTTTATGAATAATCATGATCTCGCTAGCCGTTTCTGCACATGATAAAAACGTCAGTTCTGGATGTTGCCTCAAGCAGTATTTATCGTGGATATTTAAATTTATAGCAGATCTTGTACTGTAAGTTTTTATCTCATTCGAAACACAGAAAACTGCCTGCTTGAGCTAATGCCATCCTTTTCTTTCTGTTTTCTGTGCTGCTGTCACACACGAAGAGGAGAAAATGTTAGTGAGTCCTGGAGAATCTGTCACTCTTAAGGCTGATGCTGAAATACAGAGAGAGGATGAGGTACAGTGGCTGTTTAAAGTTCAAAATGATCTGATTGCTAAAATGACTGGCAACACCAGAGAGATAATATATCCTGATGAGAGATTTAGAGACACACTGAAGATGGACAAGAAGACTGGATTTCTGACCATCAATAACATCGAACCTGAACATACTGGACTTTATAAACTGAAGATCAACAGCAGAGGAGAAGCCACGTACAAGACATTCTCTGTTTACATTAACGGTGAGGATCTCATGTCTTTCAGTGCAGTGATCATCTCAGTGTTTCCTCATGAAACATTTTTTTTCTGTGATTTAATGGTCTCAAACTCTAGGATATACAGATGTGCTCTGTCGGTGCAGTATTTAGCATTTGTATATAATCCTGATCTCATGGTTTTTACACCTGTTAAAATACTTAAGATTCAGTTTCAGTTCTGGATTTTGTTGCCTCCAGCAGAATTTATCTTCTGTTGTATTGATCAGAGGCATGTACAGTAAAGGCAGGTTAGCTGGCTAGCAAGTTAAATTTAAGTTTGGTTTGCACCAATTCTGGATTTAAGTACCATGAAAGTAGCTCAGCTTAGATCGCTCTTTGTTGTCATGTTATCTTGCACTACATGGCTAACCTTCTCTGGGGCAGGATATGTTCTGGTTTAGAGTCTGTAAGCAATCAACTGTGACACATCTATGATGCAATGAAGCCACTCCAACTGATCCTCTTGCTGCAAATTAAAGGTCACTTTTAAATATTAAATCAGATGATTTTGATGAGGATTTTTTTTTATTATAATTATTTTAGATATTATTATTATTATTATATTTGTAATCCAGTAGACATTTGCTATTGTAGTGTTAATTATTTTTATATTATTTTCTTTTTTTTTTATTATTTGTAGTCTCTGTATACCTATACAGTACACATTATCAGCTATAGACCTTTTTCTTCGTTGCTGTATGTCACCCTCCGTGCCATAGTGACCAGCGTCTTCCAGTAGGATGCTTAGAACTTCAGTTTACATCGTTTACAACTGGTAAATCTTGATCCAAAATGGGTGTCAATTCTGTTTTGAGTGCTTGTGTATTGTTTTTGTGATCCAAAACTTAGATTTTGAAAGTGTGTGTTAAACATTATGATGAATATTTGGGTTTGGGTTGGTTATATATTTGAAAAAAAATGAGAAAATTATGACTTTAGCGATGACGAAGCTCCATTTATATGGCACAGATGCTGTTTGATGATAAGCTTAAATCACTTGCAGCTGTTTTTAATTCCCATAAGATCGCATCTTTTAAATAATCAGTCCAGGAGGTGGTGCTGATCGACAGCAGTATTAGTTCAAAGACATTAAAGGGCACATAGTTTACCCCTTTTTTAAGATTTAATATTAATATTATGATTCTTCTGAGTGTGCCAGTTTAGGTTCAGTTCAACACACAGTTCAGATTTTTTTATTTTAATGTGTTCAAACGTGTTATTTTGGGGGCGTTTACACAGCTCGCTGTTTTGGGGGTGTGTTGCTACACATGAAAATTAGTTTTAAACTCCGCCGAATATAACAAGGGGGCGGAGCCAAGAGCTTTTCCGCTCTGTGTTTGCAACAGACAGACAGAGAGAGAAGCAAACTGAGTGAGAGGATGAGCATTCAGCTGTACATCTACGACTCGGACACAGACCAAGCAGAGAGTACACAATCATATATGTCATTGTCTAGTTTTACAGCCAACTGTGTGCTAGTTTAATGTGCCAAGGTTGTACACCGAGACTAATAACCACGCACACTGAATTAACTTTGACTAAGGCACCAGAGCCTCGACACGGCACGGCACACTCAGACACTCACATTCACATGTTATTTAAAACTAAACTATTCAGATGTCGCTCTGTGGCGGGGCAGAAACATGAAGTGTCCCGAATTGTGGCTGGGCGCTGCGGACAGCTGCCGACTTGAAGCGCCGGTGTGTGTACCCTGATAGAAACCGATGTTTAAAATTCTAAAATGCATGGTGCTGCGTGGCACAACGGCGCTTCTGGTGTGCGACCTGCAGGCAAGTTCGTTATTTTATTTCCAATGGAGAGACGCGCACACGAGGCAACATACTTTCACTTTTCCAGTTGCACCTAGTTAAGATCACTATGAATGTGAGAAATGTGAACGGCTAAAGTTTAAGGTAGATGCAATGAAAAGTACACGTTTGCAAACCTACCTAAAGGTACAAACAATAATTCTGATTAGAGCGATCATGTGAAGATTATTGATCTTGTGTTGAACCCAATGAGCCTTACATCTAAAAATAGAGCAAGGGTATTCCTTTAGTGACATCGCTTTGACTCACGCTGAAAATGGCGGACGTGAATCAACAAACTTGGTGACGTGCCTGTCAATCAATATTGAGCGGGGGGACCGCACTCCTACGTCAAGTTGCAGTCGATCTAAACACTGATCCAATTGGTCCACATTTTTATGTTGTTAAATTTAAAAAAAAATGGACTGGGTGTGTTTATATCAGCCCAATATCACGGTCTGTACACTATACTTACACACATGTCTGTCCAAACAGCTTGAAAAATAGATTTTTCACCATAGGTGCCCTTTAAAAGCAAGTAAAGTAGATTTAAACCGTTGTTTACTGCTGTCCAAATGTGACTCTTTATACACATCAAGCTGCCGACCGGAAGCCATACACACAAAGCATCATGGATAATTTTGCATTCTATGATAAAGGTCTATACTTTTTACATTAAGGATGTCAAACTCAATTCCTGAAGGGCCGCAGCTCTGCACGGTTTAGTTTCAACCCTAATCAAACACACCTGATCAAACTAATTGAGTCCTTCAGGCTTGTTTGAAACCTACAGGTAAGTGCTGGAACAGGGTTGGAACTAAACTGTGCAGAGCTGCGGCCCTCCAGGAATTGTTTGACATCCCTGCTTTACGTCTTCACTTACACATAAAAAGCAAGCTGTTTCCTTTTAGCTCTCTTCTTTTCATCAACAGCTCTTTTCATAATGCTGTATAAATTAAGAGTATAATTCTTATTTTTAACCCTATTATCTTTGCCTGTGAATGGTGCTTGCCCTCTTGCTAGTTGTCAATTACATTTTTACATGCAATGTAAACTGTAAAACATCTTTGTTTCAAGGCACATGATTGGCTGTTTGCATGTGCGTTCACTTATAAACTCAGGATCAATGAGTTAACGTAGAAAGATGATGATCGTGTGAAGCTAATCCTGTAATTCAGTCACCATAGTCATCTGCTCTCTGAGAAAAAACTCATTGACATGTAGATCTGTAAATGTTTGTTTCCTCCCAGTCAAACCTTTGAAAACTGTTTACTTACTATAATGGTAATATATACTATATTTATTTATTTATTTATTTTTTGCAGCTCTCACAAATGAAAAGCTAATTTTTGAGGGAAGGATAGGAGAATCTGTCACACTAAAACCTGATATTAAAATACAGAGAAATAATGAAATACAGTGGATGATTGCAGATCAAGACCGTCTAATTGCTAAAATGACCAGAGGAGCTAGAAAGATAACATACCACGATGAGAGATTTAGAGACAGACTAGAGCTGAATAAGAAGACTGGATCTCTGACCATCAACAACATCACTATTAAAGACATACGAGAATATAAGATGAAGATCATCAGCAGCAGTGGAACCACTGAAAAGAAATTCAGGGTTCTTATCAAAGGTGAGTCATTTGTGCTTTTAAAAACAGATTTGCACTGAATTTTAAGAGTTAATATAGTGTGTTAGTGTAATGTCATTCATTTTGTGTTTTCTTTGCTCCAGTCATGATTAGAGTGAATAATTGACCATGCAGATTAAAAAGATAATTCACCCAAAAGAGTTTCTTCCTTCTGTTCAACACAATTAAAGATATTTTGAAGCTGGTATCCATTGACTTAAATATTTTTTTTCCTACTATGAAAGTCAATGCTTATACAATGCTTTCTTCAAAATGTCTTGTTTTGTGTTTAACAGAAGGAAGAAACTAATAAAGGTTTGAAACTACTCGAAGGAGAGTAAATAGTGAGTAAATGTTAATTTGTGGGTTAACTATCCCTTTAAGTAAGGGATAAAGCACATCCAGTTATCTGCTTTTATTAAAATATTTTTTGTCCATATTGTATAGTTATTAACATGTTTTATTTGCATCTACAGTTTGTTCTTATTCTTACATATGCAGAATATTTCTGCCTCATTGTATCCCATAATATTTTACTAAATTTTTTTTTTCTGTTCTGTGACATGAAGGGGATCCAGTATTTTTCAATGAGGGAGATAGAGCTGTTCTACAGTGTGCTGCAGATATACAGACTGATAAGATTGAATGGAGGTTTAAAAGTGAGGAGTCTCCCATAGCTGAAGTGGAAGGTGGACAGATCTTTCTATATAATGGTTCTGATATGAGATTCAGAGACGGACTGGAGGTTGATGAAAGAACTGGATCATTGATCATCAAGAACTTCAGACATGAGCATGTGGGGCTTTATCAACTAATGAAAAAGAGTTCCAGCACAGGAGACAGTGTCAAAGCATTCAATCTTTTTGTCAGAGGTGAGTATTATAAGTCTTTAAGTGTTATGAAGTCTTCCAAAAGTGTACCGACTCTTATTAAACCACATCATTAGTGTTTTTATATTCCAGTCATAATCAAACACTGCAGACACAATTAGCTGTGAACATGACCATCAAGACTTTGCGTCTTCCTTCAGTTTATTGAGGTTTTAGTCTAGATGATTTAGTTAAGATAACCATTTCACAATTTTTCTTGACTGAATTGTGATTGTTTGTTTTTATTTGGTTTTGTGTTTTTATAGTCATATAGTCTCATCGTTGAAATAAAATGTAGACTTTGTCACTAGATGCCAGTCAGAAGTCAATATAAATGACAGAATCTGTGTTTAGAAGTATTTAAATACTTTAATGCCTCATATTAATAAACTTTACATAGAGTTTGCATGTTTTTTTTGTGTTCATAAATATAGTTAATGCCATGTTAATTTCAGTGGAAAGAATAAGTGCCTAAACACCTATTGTTGCGAAGGGATGCAATACAAACTGGGGTAGTTCCAAATGCAGCTTTATTATAAGAATGGTCAATCAGGCAAAGGTCAAATACCAGCATAAACAGTGTAGTAGGCAATCCAGAAGCAAAATCCAATAAAACAGGCAAAAGATTAGGGGCAGGCAGAAAAGGGTCAAAACACGATAATAGATTTCCACTATCGTGCCTAAAGCGAGCGAGCCAAGGCCAGTCGCGTTTCCACTGTCACTTCCGGGGCTTAAGCGAGCCAAATCGGGGCTTTCTTGGGGCCAGCGCCCGGCCTTTTTTTCGGCCTGCCGAATGCCTTGGGCCAAAGAAGGCCAGCCGGGACTTCGAGGCGGAGTGAAAGGAGAGGCGGGGACAGTTTTCCGATTGCACACGAGTACATGCGCCAAACACATAAATAAATAAATAAATAAATAAGGGAAAGAAAACATCTGGAACTAATTATAGGCTGGGGTCTTTTTGCGTATGATCGGCCTTATGTTTCTCTTTTAAATGTAAGGCTGTTGCATAAAATAATAAAGTAGTTTTAATTTATAAGTGACTTTTCTTTGCTGCTTCCTCCTTGATGTTTCAATAATGCATAATAATCTTTACACCATATTAAAGACACAGCAGACAGTAAAAGGTATTTGTCAAGTTTAAAATGTGTTTTTGTGCTCGTTTAGATGCCTGTATGTGTGTGTGAGACCGAGGAAAAGAGCGCTCCCTTCATAGCTCTGTTGATGCCGTGCGGCTTTATTCTTTTGTTTTTTATTGTTTTTATTTATTTCGGAGATAATATGAATACAACAGAAAGACATTAAACTTTACAAATTTCGTGTCCACTTTTGTAAGCTTAAAACAATTGTGTCATATCTAGATAAAATAGCCTAAGCTATATTGAAATAATTTAAAGAATTACAAATATCAGATATAATAAAATCACATAAAAAAAAAATAAACCAATATAAAACTAACAAAAGCTAGCTTTAACAATTAGGTACTATATCGAACTGTTTTAAAGCCATTAAACTTTCATTTTTCAAAAGCCTCTCTGAAAAAAAAAGATTTTTAGATATTTTCTAAAAACAATAAAGACCAGAGAATGTTTTAAACATTATTTATGAAGTATTTGGATACGATGATATTAATCAAATCATGCAAACAGAGCATTTTCGGGGTGAGTGAAAGCAGAAACTAGACGACCTTTTTTTCTGTCTGCAGCTGCGCAGCACTTTACAGATGCATCGGGGAAAACTGCAAGTTCAAAATGTGTTCTGTGTCCTTAAACGTGTGTATGTTTTTATATGATGTGGTAAAATTGAAAAGTAAATTTTAAATTCATGAACAGCTTTATTAGTGCATAGCTCCTGAGCGCAAGGAAATATAGGCTTTATTACGTGCTGCTCTTAAGTGCTGAAACACTAAACACTTTCCTTTACTTAAGATATAATAAGCAACATCTTTAAAGGGAATCACCTATTAAGTGTCATAAAGCCTATAGGGAAAAGTTTATGTTTTAGTTCTCTCCGGAGCATTTGGGATGAATGTTGGACAGGGTCTGTCTAACTTAGGATGTTATAAAATACATTTTATATCTAGTTATTAACGGAGAATTTTATATATGTGGTTTTATATTATGGATGTGTTTGCTCCCTGCACTGGGTCCCTCTGTTATTGGCAAGACCACTGGAATTCGATGCCAACAGTCGGTCGGCGAATAGTTTCATGATGATGTGGTGTGCTTTATCTGCCTGATTCCCGCTGAAGTAGGTGGATTGAGTGATGTTCAATCCGGGGGATGTTCTGGGGGTGTGGTTAGCGTGATGTGCTGCGAGCTACTAGCCCGACAGTGGAAACGCGACATGATTTCGGCCTCACTGCTTAACCTCCCGGGTGATTGGCCGATAAAAGCTCTGGCTCGCACTGGCCCGATAGTGGAAATGCGAATCAGTCCAAAAGTCAAAAACACAGGCAACAGGAAAAACCGCTTGCGTAAGGACAGCAACAGCTTAACAATACTCAGCATCATATGTGTGGAACAGAGGGGTTTAAATTGTCCAAATAATCATTGTGTGAGTGGCTTCAGCTGTGAGAGTGTAATCAGTCTGGATCTGGAACCGTGTGTATGTGTGTGTATGTGTGTGTGTGTGTGTGTGTGTATATATATATATATATATATATATATATATATATATATATATATATATATA